TTTTTAGAACAGCTTTTAATTGACAAAGTGATGCTTCTGTTTTAAAAGAATTTAAAAGGCCTTTTGCATAATAATCCCCATTGGCAACTCATTCACTCACAAAATAGGACACAAAACAACTAATATGCTCAGCATGGAGATAAGTCAATAGGACATGCTGAAGTCAGGGGTTTTGAATAGCACTGCTCTCTTGGCTTCAGGTGCCTTAAGTCTCTTTAGCAATATTAGGAGCAACCTTTAGCAATATTAGGAGGAACCTGCCTCAGTTTGAATACTCATCCCTGGGCCAGCCTATGCCTTTTGTTTTGAACACTGAGCATGGATCAATACTTTCCTTCAAAATATGGCCAGAAGAGAAAGTGTTGCCACTGCTCCCCATTTATCTAATATCCTTGCTGGCAGTTCTTACTCAGGCTGTAGGAGAACTAGATTCAAACCCCTCTTTTTCCTGGTGGGATTTAAAACCAAAACTGCCACAAGAATGTCCTAACTACCAAACTATACGCTATTCTGATGTGTGTATCTGTGTATTAACACCTGTTAACACTGTTCCACTATGTACCAAAGAGCCTTTAACTAGAAAATAGCCTACAGCTTGGTGGTTATGATACTCTCCTAGGAGATTGGATATGTGAGTTTCAGTTCCCTCAGGCATGCCTGGGAACACAGCCCAGGTCTCCCACATCCTCTTATTACATAAAAGGAGACACGCCTGTTTATCTCTACTCCCATATTTCATATAGAGATTGATCTGTTAGATAGGCTTTGAATATACCTACTTGACTGAGCCCTTCAAGTGATGTGAGCATAGTAGGTGCATCTACACATGTGCTTTACTGTGGAGTTGACTAATTAGCTCCACAGTAAAGCATCACCATCTACATGTACACTGGTATTAGGTGAAAAATTAGGTAGAAAATTAATTAACTCTGTTGTAAGATAGTATTGTCAGGGACAGTACTAGCTTAAGGTGGAGTACTTAGCTCCACCAAAACACACGTGAAGACAGTGACGGGGGCTGGATGGGGCATGAAGGTGCCAAAGTGCGGGGGTTGTCTGCCACCTAGCCCTGCACTTTAACACTCCTGTGCCCCAGCCAGCCCCTCTGTTGCCCAATGCTGCCCCCCAGAGCCCAGGGCTGACCCTCATGTCCCCTGGCAGCCCAGGGCTGCTCCACCCTGGCTCAAAGTGCTGCCATCCTGGGCACACATGTAGACACTGCATCCAGAAGCAGCCAACTGGCATGAGCAGCCTCACTGCACATCTATAGGCACGCCTTTCAATACTGAGGCATTTCTGGGTGTTTAGGTACCTGACAAATTTTAATATTGACAACTGAGATACCTACAAATTTTGTGCGTCTCCAGTTTAATGTAGCAGCTGACGGGGGGGGGGGGGGGGGTGGTTCCAGATTGCAATTTTGGATTCAGGAAACTAAAGTAGGAGTTAAGGGTCACTTAAGTCTTTTTGTAGCTCTCACTTTTAGGACCCTAAGTTTCCACAGCTTTCAATAAGTCAAAGACTTCTAAATATTTAAGTTACTTCTGAAAATGAGACTTGGATACTTCAGAAATTCTGCCACTTTACTTTCTACAAATCTGAATATAGGTCCCTCCAGCCCCACCATGTCCTGTGCACATATGCTGAAGTGTTGGTTTAGTGCTGACTCAAATGGAAAGATGCCACTTACTCTGTCACTAAATGCCACTCCTTCAACACTTCAATTTTCTTGGGTTGTCTCTCATGTAAGAACTTCCCTATCATGACCCTCAGGAAGATTGACAAGATCACAGCCTGAGGTAACAGAGCTGCAGAGAGGCATTTAACTCTTTAATTAGACACTGACACTGCTTTACCTTTCACTCACAGGCATTATGACGCTTTAATTAATGTTTGTTTTTTGCTCTAAGATTCTCAGGCAGGAGTGCTATGGAAAGTGTTCTGTTATTATTATTGTTATGATTGATTTCAGAAAGCAATTTAAATCTTTGTCTGTGTGTAACAGAGCCCATTGGTTTCCAAGAGATGGCTCCAATTTCTGAAAAACTAGGCAAACTTTTGTTGGATTTGTTATTAAGCTTGCACTGTGGTCACTAAGATCCTACCAGCCACAAGTTGATTGAGAGTAGGTTCAGGCTAGACATCAGGAGGGACTACTTCACAGTCAGGGTGGCTAGGATCTGGAACCAGCTTCCAAGGGAAGTGGTGCTCGCTCCCACCCTGGGGGTCTTCAAAAGGCAGCTAGATAATCACCTAGCCGGGGTCATTTGATCACAGCATTCATTTCTGCCCATGGCAGGGGGTTGGACTTGATGATCTGCTCAGGTCCCTTCCAACCCTAACAACTATGAAACTATGAATCACCAATTTGGACATAGACACAGTTTTAAATGTTATTTTCTACATACCTCAAGGTACCAATGTGGCTTGTGAACACTGCAATGCTGGGATGGATGGAGCATCCCACAGGAGTGCAGGGGGGGCCTTCCACATGCTTGGCAGCAAAGCCAGAAGTGGACCAGAAGAACTTCCGGTCCACTTCTGGGTCTGCCACGGAGTGTGCAGGGGGGCTCCCCCACACCTCCCTGGCTCAGCAACTGGCCATGGGGGGACCCTGGGTGCCTCCCCAGACCCGGGAGGCACCAGTTGCTGAGCCAAAGGGTGCAGGGGGGCTTCCCAGCACGCTCCCTGGCAGACCTGGAAATGGACCAGAAGTGCTTCTGGTTCAGTCCCGGGTTGGTTGCCGAGCACACTGGGGAGCCCCCTGCACTCTTGTGGGATGCTTCATGTGCCCCAGCATTGCAGCATTCATGAGCTGCCTGCTACCTAGAGGTATGTAGAAAAAACATTTAAAGCTGTGTCTATGTCCAAATCTCCGAATTGATTTGGAGGGTTCCGATTCAATTCAGAGATATTAAAGGGTCTCCTGATTTGATTTGGATTCGGAGATTCGGTCACCAAATCGGGCCAAATCTCCGTCTAATCGACTCAGGGACCGAAGCTTTGCACAGCCTTAATCCTCACCTCTTCTAGACCAAATTCAACTGTGCTGTATGGAATTGCAACTCCCATGAACCTTAAAAGGAGTTAAATCAGGCCTGTTGATTTCAATGGAACTTACTCCAAAATTAAAATCTGATCCCCCAAATTTACACCAAACTGGGGTAAGGTATATTTATTTTGTAGATCCAGTGAAGATCAATTGTTAACTTTCATGATTATACCTCTTGTCTGGCCAATGGACACTATCATTTACTTTATCATTGAATAAATCCAATTAGCACATTTCTTTGGGAGGTGACAAAAGCCTCAATTCTCAGAAGACGTTTCTCCACTAACAAGAAGAGATTTGAGTCATGGATTTCCTGACACTAACTTGCACTGAACCCTAATACTCTTTATACCTTTCTCCTCAGCTCCCGTTTTCTTTTACTGTCTTCTACTACTGCTGGTAAACCCACTATCTTACCTCCCACCCAGGCTCACAACCTTAAGCTCCCAGTCAACTCTTCCCTTCCTCTCTATTCAGTTAGGATTTCCTCAAATCCTCCTAGTTTGCCCTCTTTAACATCTCTAAATCCATCCTTTTCTCTGTCATGCTGGCACTAAACCCAGGCTTGTCCCTTGCTTCTCTACTGCAAACTCCTCCTTTTTGTTCTCCCTGCTTTATCCTCATTATCTTCAACTATACCCAAAACACTGCTGTAAAAAGTATCTGCCTCCCTAAGCTTTCTGAACATGTCACTCTCCTATGCAAATTCTTTCACTGCCTTCTCTTCTGCTCTGGATCAAGTTTATGCACTTTACAACTCAATGCAATCACACTTAGCTCATAATTACTGCAGAAAGTATTGCTCTAGCAGGTCCTTGTGCATTTATGCACACACACATGCATGTCCTTGCATATAGGAATACAAATATGTTGCATATTAAGGCATATAAATCTTAGGAGCCAAATCAAATCATAAAAGCCAAATAATACATCTTTGTTGTGAATGCTAGATCTCTGATTACACCAAATCTCTGCCACACCCTCTGTAATAAAGCCACATTATTAATTTATAGGACAATATGCTTTACTCTGTGGAAAGAAATAATAGCTATTATTGTTATTCAAATGATATTTTGTTTCTTGATTTTGTGTTCTTGTCATTTCTCTGCAGCACAGCTACATCCCAGAGTACTTTGTAAACAAAGCAAAAATAATTTATTTCATCCAACTGCAGCAGGAACTGAGCAACTTAATCTGATCATTGTGTGCAAAAAAAATATTTCCAATGACGACATCTTATGTCAATTGGTTTTTATTACAGATGTCATCTCCATGTGCCATACTAATGCAGTTCTTTCTTCTCATTTCAAGATTTTAATCTATCTTTGTGGCTCTAATATTTTATTGGTTCAAAATACATGCTGTAAAATCCACGGCCATCAAATTTTCCTGTGAGCTAAAAATAAACTTCTCTTGTCAGATATGGTTAGCTGATAAAAAGTGTCAGAGACTTTTCTGAATTACTTTGATAACTTCCTGTTTATGTGGTACTGACCCTTGTCTAATAAGGATCTTTAACACTTGGAATAAGAGAATATACTGCAACATACTATTCTTTAATGGACAATATTGATTACTTTTGAAAGCCTTTAATACATTTCCCATATTAGACATGAACAGATGTCAGGGATGTTGCCAAGTGACATTTCTTTTATGCGATCTTGGCTTGTTGTACAATAATAGCCCTTTCTCAACATGGGAAAAAATTACAGACCCAACTAATTTCCTTGACAGGGAAGAGTTACATATGTTTTCCACTTGTTTTTTTACGATAAGTTTACAATTTTGCCAAACCTGGAACTAATTGGGACCATTTCCAAAAATGGCCCAATAAACCCACAATGTGTACAGCTATTCTAAAATGCAGTAAATGTTTGGTTTTACATTTTTTCTAACAGGAGAAAGTTAGATTGCACAATTATTTCATTTAAGTTACTTAAACACTTACTGTTTCATATCCTCCCAGTTTTTGAGCAGCTTGAAACATAGTCCAAAGGTTAACTGTTAGAGGGACAATAAGTATTTAGATAAGCATTGCATTAACCAATATATTTCAAAGAAATGTAAATTAAACAGTTTTTTAAATAAAAGAAAATATAAAAAATGTTCACAACCCTTGAAAAAGCTCTTGTGAAACAACTTTCAAAAAGATATATACATAATCTGAAGAGTAAATATTACCTAGGACAATATATATATATATATATATAAACACTACGTGAAAGGGAACCCATTTAGATTAATCTAAGGAATTAAAAAATACCTTTTTATTTAGAGTTATTGTGCTCTTTCCACTTTTCTTATAAGAAATAAAGCTGTGCTTTGCTTGCTTCTATAATGGTGATAGTAATAACTAGTATAGAAGCCATTGGAAAGAATGCTCTTATTTTTTTAAAAAAAACTTATTTTGTTAACAGAAAGCAAGCACTGAAGCATGACTCATGTAGAATGGCCACAATGAAGATACAATATCATATATTTATTGCAGCCCATGTAATAACTAGTCTCTATAATCAATGAAGTCAGCCAAGTTCTAACTGGCCCTGTCTGAAGGCACCAATGCTGGGGGATGAGTGTATAGGTAACATATTTGTCCCAATGCATCAGAATTGCCATATACCATATAGCCAAAATTTGATTGTAGGGAAGGACAATGGTGGAGAGACTGAATAATTGCAATGGTAGGATTGTCATTATTCTTTTTGTTTTCCAGTGGGCAGCCACACCCTGCTCAGGATGTGTTATAAAAGCACTGGCAAGGTTATCTGGAGGGGGAACACAAGCAAGACTTTTAACAAAATTTCATAAGAGCCACTGATTTTCCTTTTTGCGTAATGACTCACTCCACACCTTCTGCCTGCTACCCAAAAGGGCCATAATTTGTTGTCTTTGCTCTTTATTTATAGAAAAATAATTGATGGCAACACTATACTAAAGGCCTACACAGTATATCACCAACAAACGGTGACTCTCAGTGGGCATACTACAAATATTTCAAGCTGGAATCAGCAATAATGCTGCAGATCAGAGAGGACATAATTTATTCCCCCACCAGGGAATTCTGTGTTGTAGTATATACACTGGTTCTTCCCACTAATGGTATTTATATTGGCAATGTTTACACATATCATGCTGGACAAATATAGAATCCAGTCCTGCAAACACTTTTACTCCTCTGAGCAAATTTAATTTTGTACTTCACCATTTGCACAATTGGAGTCACCTACTATAATGAATATAAAGCAAACTTAAATATATATTTTAGTTAAATGTTATGGGATGATTTTTCCCCGGATTGAGCGTTTTGGAAACAGTGTCTTTTCTTATCTTTTGAGCCTACAGTGCCTCCTTGTTTGGAGAAGGCAGAATAAAATGAAAATAAAAAGGCTGTCTTCAACACAAAACATGCTGAAAGCCTCATTGAACCTTGTACCATTTCAAAACTATCAAGAGCTTTGCTTAGGCCTTGATTTAATCTGAATCAATGCATAATGCAACAAAGCTGTTCATAGTACATTAATTTTACTTCCATTTCAAGCAGCCGGTTTTCAGACAAACACTGTAATCATTTGGAGTTATATAAGTTTATAATGGCTGCTAGAGGCCTGTTGCAATCAGTGCCAATTGCTATTAGGTATGTAAATTGTTATGTAAAACATACAGGTTTGACATTCTTCATCAAAATAACACATGGTTTTAATCTGAGAGATAAGTTAGAGTAAATAATATTTCAAACCATGAGTTCTCCCTTTACATAATTTAAATATCATTCAACCTATACACAAGAAAAAAAAAACATTTACAGCTTTTGCTGTAAACTCTGACAGAGCTCCCCTTACTTTGCAATATTTATGTAAAATTTAGTTACATCCACATCCTCTTCACCTACAACTGCTTTACAAATTGTGGCACTAAAAACTATATTTGCCAAAGTAATTCTAAACATTGTATTCTGGGTTAAACAGATACCGTCTATTTTTACATTCTCTGAAGTCAGTAATTTATTAACTATAAACACATGTTTAGACTTAAAAATATGATCCCTTTTGTGCCTTTCTTGACCACCTTTAAATGTCTTCCTTTAATATTTGTCCTTTCACAAGAAACATCTGGCCACAATAAAGCTACATCATATTATTAACTCAGAAGAAAGGCACTACAGACACTGCAGATTTACAAAAAAGAAAACTAGAGAGAGTTTTCAACTAGCCTATTTCTAGTCATAATCAGTGGATTTAAACCTATAAATATCCAGAAGCAACTACCCAGAAGGAAGAGATGCAAATCTAGGCATAAGAGACAGTAACATGCCTTGACTGGAAAATGTGTGGATATAAACTCAGTCACAAAACCATAAGGTTTTAAAATAGTCTCAGTGTGTGAATGCTTTCTACAAAGAAGCCAAACAGTTCTAAAATGTCAACAAAAAGTGGGAAAAATTATACTTACTCTGTTTAAAACCTAAATAGGGTATCCGTTCAATTGGTGTTTTCCTTTCTTTCATGTATTTATAAAGTGCCACAAGGAAAGCTTGCTCATCAGCTTTGCATTCTTCACCTACAGCAACCTTTGATTTATCTTCACTTGAACATTTTTTACAGTTGCTGTTGTTATTCTTGGGTTTGGGAAAAGCTGACCTGGCCTCACATTTTACCTGTTAAGTAAAAAGATTTCATGTCAAATCTGGATAATTGGCTAACCTTTCATTTTAATTCAAGAGATAAACACTGTATTAAATATGAAGGCCAAACCATGCAACTACACTTAAGGAGAAACAAAGAGAGCTATTTATAGGACTCATATCTTGTTCTGAATCTGAGTCATAAAATTTTTAAGTAGCCACATCTTTAAACTGTTATAACTGTAATGTTCTCCAGATCTGTATTTTTATGACTATCTATTGCTGCGTACAGGCAGCTTTCATCCCTCACATACACTCGTTAATAGGATGTCTAATAATAGGGCTGTGCGAAGCTTTGGTAGCTGATTTGATTTGGAGGAGATTCGGCCCGATTCAGGGAACGAATCTCCAAATCCAAAGCGAATTGGGAGACCAATTAAAAGCTCCAAATTGATTTAAAATGTCCGAATCAATTCAGAAAAGCTTCAGAAAAGCTTCAGCCATAGATTAAACAGGGAGCTGACAGCTGCCTCCAGCTGGTAAGTCTGCTGGGGTTGGGGGAAGAGGGAGGGAAGAGCCATGGGGGCGACAGGTATTGGAGCTGTGGCTGGGGCAAGCTGCCCAGCCAGGCCAGGGGGCACATTACTCTGGAAGGGGGGCAGGGGGGAGTGCAGGATGTGGGCATGTCAGTGCTGGGAGCAGGGGCTCTGCCCTGTTGCCACTTGCCCAGCTGGGGAGGGCGGGGGCGGGATGTGAGTGCAGCTCACTCCAGGCAGAAAGGGACAAGTGGCAGCAGGGCAGAGCCCCTGCTCCCAGTGCTGGCGCACCCACATCCCATACGCGCCCCCTGTGCTGGCTGGCAAGTGGCAGCAGGGGAGAGCCCCCCACTCCCAGCGCTGATGCGGGTGCAGTAGCACTGGGAGCAGGGGCTATGCCATGCTGCCACCCAGAGTAAGCCGTGCCTTCATCGCATCCCCCGCCACGCCAGCTGGGCAAGAGGCAGCAGGGCATAGCCCCCATGGCTCCCCCCCCGGGGCAGAGGCACAGCCAGAGGGGTCACGGGAGAAGCCCCCATGGCTGCCCTGCTTGGCTCCATCCCCCACCTGGCCCAGCCTCCCAACACTAAAAAAAAAAAAAAAGCCCTGCACTCACTGGCTCTGGCTGCAGGGATCAGGGCCTCTGAGGGCTTGTGGCAGAGTCCCCCCAAGCAGCATGGGGCAGTGGGGGGCAGTGGGGATCACCCCCCTCACCGCCTGGCACCTGTGTGGCACCTGCCGCATGGCTTGGCAGGGTGCCACACGCTGTCTGGGAGCTGGGGCAGCTCCACCTGTCACCCAGAGCCTGGCACCCCTCAGCCCCAGTGGCCCCAATAAAAAAGGGAAAGATTGGAACCATGATAGTTCTCTTCAGCATTCAAAATAATAGAAACTAAGAGATCTAACCTTACAGTCCTTCTGTAGATAGCCCCATTCCCCCATTGAGTCAAATTAAATTTCAAACCTTTGGTAGTTCATGTATAAAAATAATAAGCATAGAAGAATATTAAAAACTGCTTTTAAAAGCTGTCCAACCATGTTATTTTATAATGTGTGCTCAATACATTTCCAGTGAACACTAGCAATAAAAAGTACTCAGTCTAGAGGAGGGTCAGATGGTTACATGATATATTTTGGGTGTACACTGTTCTCTCAACACTGGTATGTACTAGAAGAGTCTTTCCAATGGTTTCACAACCAAACTGGAAAAATTCTGCATGCTAAAAAAGGGGAGGAAAGACTCTTATAGTTCACAATATTTTATTTCAATGTCTATAGGGAAAACAATGGGCCAGTAGAACAAATGCTGGACTAGGAACCAAGAACTCTTGAGGTTTAATCATTGTGCCTAGCAGTGACTCATTCTATACCCCTGACTGTGGTTACTCAGTTTTCCCACCTGTGAAATGGGCGCATTGTACATTCTTGTTTACATTTTGAAAGTAAGTTCTTTGAAGCCAAAGAGCAAATATCCAAGAGAAGAGACAAGCCAGGATGTATTTTACTTATTTCAAATGAAGTTATCTTACAAATTCTTCTGTGTTTAAGAAGACAGAGGGAGGTCCTTTTTCTGATGTTTTAACACTGTAAAAATCAATGAGTTAGGGCTGGATGCTCCATTCTTCTTATGTGGAGAAAGAATGAAAAATCGGGACTTGAAGACCAGAAAGAGAAAGTGCTGGCTATTCCCAATATACTCCCCATCTCCGTAAAAAATTCCCCGTGTGAAAACCATAGGAAATAGCCTTTTTTTTTAGATTCTGCAAGAGAGAGGCATCCAAGATAACAAATGCATCTTCTTTTATGATTTTTCTTCATCACCTATCCCTTCACAAGTTTTCGTGTATTTTTTCTAGATAGTTTCTTGCCAGGAATGTTCTCAAGGAATAGTACCACATATGTTTAGTCTTTTAGTTCTATTTACATTTACTGATGAAATTCCTATAAAGGGCTTCATCCAAACCTCAGTGAAATGAAAACAAACCTTTCCATTGACATAGCAGAAATCCTTTCCATTGCATCAGGTCTTTTTATTTATTTATTTATTTATTTATTTATTTAGATTTAGGGCTTTAATCCTTTTTTTTTTTACTCTGGGTCCTTAGCAAATTATTTAAAGGCTTTCCCAGATAAAGTTTTCTATTGCATTGTCATAATGTTCAATGCTATACAGAAGGCTGTGCTAAAGCTTCCAATATGAAACCACCATTTCAATAATTTCTAGGGTTTTTAATTTGAGTCATAAATTTTTTGCAGGCTAAAATTTGAAGTGGACTCTTTCAGCTTGGGAACAATTTCTCATTTTTAAACCACACTTGCTAGAAAAAAGGCTATCTGTCCATTTTTAATAATTCCATTTTTAACAGAGGGTGATACAAAATTAAGTATACATACAAATCAGTTAACGGGGAAGGGAGTTATTCTCTATAGAGCAGGCAAGAGAACACAAAGAAAAAAGACAAATAAACAAAAAATATTACAAATGATGAATCCCAGTTTCCCTCTCTCCCTTGTACATTCTGAAGAGGTTAAAGCACCTGCTAAACTCACAGTATCCAAAAAAAAAAACCGGCAAGGAAGGACCTGGCGTAGTGGTTTATTAGATTAGCCTTTGATGACATTTTCAGAGTTTCATTGTTTTAGTGCTCAAGACACAAGCTTCATTTCTGGACTTTACCTACCATGTGACAGGCAATATGAAAGAATACTGATACAAGTGGATGAGTAAGATTCAGAGGCCCAAATTTTGTTCTTGTTAGTACCAATGTAAATCCAGCATAATTCTACTAAAGTCAGTGGAATTATTGCAGATTGCTCTAACTGAGATCAGAAACTGACCCAGAGGTCTTATCTCTGTAAATACAATCTTACACCCAGCTCAGTTGTAGCTTGCATAGTTCTGGCTTTTTTTTTCTTTTCCTTTTACTTCCAAGAAGGCATAAACACTTGGAAAGTGCTCTAAACACTGGATTGAGCCCTGCTTGGCCACTTCCTCTATAACATTCTGCTCAATAGTGCTTTCGTGATTTTTAAACAAAAAAAAGGTTCAAATTTCTTTTGTAGGAGTTTAAGGTCTTTTTATAATAAACTTGCCACAGATGACACATCCAAAATTGAACTTTCAATGAGGATATGGACAGACGTTTACAGAGTCAATGTAGGCATACCTCCCCATTCCTTCCACCAACCTTCACCCTTACCTACAGCTGAACCCATTCCCTCAGACCACATTTATACTGGGTGAGTCAGGGTGGAATCACCCCGCACTTACCTGGAAGTATTATCATCTGTATATCTGACCCCAGCCTTCAGCTAGATCCAGGAAACTCTTAATTGTTTTTCAGATCCCTGGGAAATTTACCCCAATTGAACCATTTAATAGTCAGTCAGTTGCATGCACTAATAATGGCTGGCCCTGGGAAATTCTTTTAATCGTTTGGAGTATATTCAAGAGAACTCTAGACATCTCCCTTGCTCATTCATTTATCAGTAAAGCTAAGATTTTCAAAGGAACTGCCAACAGCTCCTGGGCTCCTAACTCACACGGGCCACTTTGGGAATCCCAGCCTAATCATAAAGTGCCCAACTACGAAATTGACAATATTTCAAACATGGCAAAGCTAAGTAAAAAGAAGCTAAATGTAAGGAATGGGGATGTTTATCTATGTTAACAATGAGAAATACCTATTTGCATATTTAGTACTGGCAAGTGAAGGGTGATGTCTCAAATATTGACCACGGGAAGCATATATTTATATACATAATGCTTTCTTTTACTGGAAACCATATATATATTTGATGGTTCCCAAAAGAACTATATTAAAAGTTTTAATCAGATAATGTTGGAGGTTCCAAGTACAAATCTTCAGGTCTGAGAATATGCCAGGTTACCTGTTGCCTTTGGAAGAGCATATGCCAGTAACTTAAATTAATATCCAAGCTCTTGCCATATAAATGAAGCAAAATATTTATTTTAGTATTTTCACTAGGAGACATAATGAGTACATTAATTTATGGAACAATTTCCATGTTTAACAAGCGAATCACTTCTCCTCTTAGAACTTGTAGATCAGAGTACTTTAACAAGTCTTATGACCCATTTTTAGATTCTTTGAATGGGAACTTATTTGGTGGGAAAAGGCCAGAAAAAAGCAGAAGTGCAGCTTTAGCTGAGGTGTGGTTTACATAACCTGGAAGTCACGCAAATCAGCCTAGTAGGGGTGACATAGGAAGTGTTAGAGCCTCAGGATTCCATAGGCCACTGTTCATATAAAAGGAAGTGTGATTTTTTTTCTTGCACACTTGATGCTACTTCAGTGAAGGGGTCTGTATTAGGTTACTCTTGAGGTCCCTCCCAGTTCATTTCTATGATTCCCAACCCAGGATAATATCTTGCCCTTGGTATATCTTCCATATGGTATAAAGGGGCCACAATAGCTGGCAGAGAGCTCAAAAACAAGTGTAGACACAGGTGGCTATGCACATTCCCCATACAACACATTCAAGTACTAGGATGGTAACAGGGCATTTTTAAAAGGCTTCCTGAACTGGAATTTATTCAGAAATACTGAAAGCAACTCAAATGCCTTTGTGTGTCAAGTAATAGTAAGAGTCCGCAAAATTATTTGCTCGTAGTTAAGGCAAACAAGCTTCATGAAAACTAGAACCATAATGGCTTACAACGTTTTTTAGTTGCTGATTGACAGCAAAGAACTTGAAATATAGCTCGTGATTATTATTTCACAATCTGTGTTCGTTTTGTACATAATCCTGACAGGATCAAAACAACAGTGTTCAAAATCTCAACCCTTTTTCCATATGCTTCCATTTGAACCTCACCTCACCTGTAGGACTTCAGTAACAAGACAGATGACAGACCATTCTACCTCTACCAATCAAGCAGTCTTCACTTGGAAACTGGCCTATTGTTAATAAGGGTTGTCAGCAATGGAATGCCATGACTGGGTACTGAAAATGGCACACTAGTTACAAGAAAATGCTGAGAGGGCAAAACCAGCTGACAAAATATGTATAGGAGTGACTAAAGCACTCCTATGGTTTTGATTCATCTACATTATCAGTTAAACCATTTTAAGCATTGGTTTAGAGTGATCTGACATTCACTGCTGTCAGGAGTAGGTCAATGCCAGAATGAGGAGAAGGGAAGCCCAACATGGAACTATATCTAAAATCCATGCAGCCACCCACAATAATGTGGAGAGACTATGTATATCTCAGTTCAATCCACAGAAAAACAAGATAACATTTAGGTGGGACTCAAGCAGCATAAAGTACAGTCACCTTGTGTTTGAATGATTCTTATATATTTGGTGTCTCCTCTGGTGCTACATAAAATATTCACTCAGTCCTGCAACCCTAAATCATATGAAGAGTCCTATATCAGTCAGTGGGACTTCATGCATTAGTAAGGTGTGCACAACATACCTTATATCATGAACACTTTTATTATTTATAATTAAATTAAACCAGCCTAGATAATTAATATTTTTGATGTCTGTATAATGATGAACACAGTATGACTAGATAAATAGGCCAAATTTTAGGAATGTTCTAACATTTGACTAGTAAGAGCACCCAAAACATACACAGCTAGTATAGACAATAAGCTGTGTTAACAAACTGGGGTTTGAACACTATTTACATGTACTACATAGATTATAACTACTTGTATGGTACTCTATTCTAGTGTGCCTATGTACAGTGCTTTAACTTGGAAAACAGGGAATTCCGTCCATTTGAAATATTTGTATCTTGCAGACTTTGAATATTCTTACGTGCTCTAGTTACAAAATTATGACAAATTTTGTAATACCTTGCAGGAACCTGAAAGTTAACATGCCAGGATTCAGCATCTTCTAGCAATAGTTGTATAAGAAGAGATCAGCAGACAATATTGTAGATGTCCACTGAGCACTAAGGGCACATAAATGAGTGTCACACTGACTTAAGGACAGAATTTCATCATTAATTTCTGGGTTTTTTTGTTTCCATTAATGCATGTGCCAGTTTCAGCATAACTGAAATGCTGGAGTCCTCATATGAGAAACCGGGAACTTGACACTTCCACCTGACCTCTTTAACCTCAATCTCCCTAGCACATTCACATGCAAAACAATAAAAACTTGGATTGATCTAAAGAGATTCACTGTATTTCCCAAAGGGTTATTCACAACAATAACAATACTTTTCAGAAGTATATCCCTAGAATTTGCTGAAATAGTCAACTTGAGGAGTTGGTTAAATCTATGTAAAATGTTTGCTCAATGCATACAACTATCACTGTGACAGAAATCTGTAATAGATAAGATCCTGTGAATCTCTCTCTCTCTCTCTCCCCCCGCTAGTTTTCTATCTTTGTATCTTACACCTTGGCCTGACAATTTGCTTTCAAATTAAACTTTCCATTAGTGTCCTGAAGGATTCGTTACTGTAAATTATTTTTTAAAAGAGAAAAGAACATTCCTATTTCAAATACATGCACAACATACAAAATGGGAAGTAAATTCAACTTTAGAAAGTTCATTTTAAAATAATTTCAAGAAATGGACTCAAACCCACAGAAGGCTAAGAGAAGTCTAAAAATACAAACTGACAACCCAACCTTCTTTCACACTATGTAGCTAAGTACTATAGCACATACACTATATAAGAAGAGGCACTGTTCAAAGACCCCTGAAATGTCTAGGGTATGTATTAAGATCCAGTCCAATTTTTTTTTTAGTTTTTACTCTGAGTTTCCTTCCTTGTCTTTCTTATAAATCACAGCATTAAACATTCCTCTACCATACTTTTTTTGTGCTTCTTGGAAACCATTATTTAGAGGCAGTTCCCATTTCATACTCTGTTTATCTTCAGACTTATAATTAGAAGTACATTGTAACCCTGAGAATGGCTCTACTGGTTTATTTTTAATATGAAGGCACTGTTGTAAACTATGTTTGTGTGTCATAGAATATAAAAACTAGATGCCATAAAAGCTTAATCGCTGCCCTTTTCCGAACAAGCCCATACCCTCAGGTTTTATGTGATTATTGTTGTTGGTAATTTCTAACAGTCTGAAGTGAAAAAATAGAACTACAGAAAAGATTCTTCATTTGTTTACATTAAAAAGTTATACTCTAAATTTGAAACTGTATGCTGGGAAACAAAGGCAGAACTGTCTCTAAAGACAAGAGTGTAGTGAAAGGAATATTACTAAGTGATTTACCTTGGCAACAGCTTTGCTTTCAGAATTATTGTTGGAATCCTTAACGCCATTTAATGAATCTCTTCTCTGTGGGTATGGCTTCTTTTTGCGTGGTCTGCCTTTAAGGTTTGGTGCTGAAAATTAATGGAGAACAATTTGAGCACATTTTCTTATACATGGACTTTTAACAGCTGAAAGCATAATAAATCATTCCAAAACTATCAGTCACAGAAATGTACACATCTGTCTGTAGTAAATGCTCATTATGAGGTTCGCATCCTCCAAGGGTTATATCTTGATATATTATACTTCTCTATATCATATCCCCTAAGGCTAAGGTATTCTACTTTTACATATCTAATTAACAGAAAGTCAAACACAGGGCTCCAAAGGACACTGAAAGTACATTTGTATCTTCCTAGTGCAAAAAAGAACAAAACAGCATATTAATGGAAAACTTGACATTACTTGGAGCAATGCACTTGTTTTTTTTAATCTGAAAGATTTAAAAAAAAAAAAAAACAACTTTGGAAAACATTTGCTTTCAGAAGTTTTGAAGTATTAACATTCCTTACAACTTTAAGGAGTTTTAATATACAATGACATTCCTACCAAAGTTCTTTTATTAAATGCCAATACCAAATATTTCTAGAAGTAAAAAAGTATCAGAATAATTGACTGATGTTTCATAATGCATACTAACTAGATACAATCCATCTAAATACAGTTTTATCCGGTACTTAAGATGTTTTGATAAGATAGCTCTGAAATACCATACCAAATAAATCCTAACCATTCTGAGCTATATTTAGAAAACTAGTATATGGGTCATGAAAGGGGGGAGGGGTGGAAATCAAAAGCCTTCTTCAATAATTATATCACAATACCAGTTATGACACACACATATAAATATAAGGTAAGCAAATGATTTGTTCAATATTAAGTGTCCTGCATATGCTTTCAAATCAAAATCAGCCCCATACTACTACAACATTAAAAATGATAAACGATCATTAACTAATGACTATCCTGAAGAAGATAATTTGCTTTAAACATTTAATTTCTAGGTAACCATTGTTTTCATTACTTCAAGGGATGACTAGAGCAACGTCAGAAATCTGCACACCACAAACCTCTTGAGTGCCTTCTAATCGCTTCTAATCTTACATTTGTCACACAGTAAGCCAGTGGTTTCAGGACATTTTACATTTTAATTAGTTTGCGAACACAATAAAGGGTGCTAATTTGATTTTATACTTTGAATAACAGTGGCATATTTGGTCTGCTTAGAAAAAAAATAGCAGCCATAGTTTTAAAACCAAAAGTCCAAAAACCATCAATTTCTGTTATAGCGTTGACACACTAAAAAAAAATTTTTTTTAAATCCACTGATGCACATTATGTTTGTAGGAATGTACTACAGAAAGCAATTCTGAAATTGACATCTGAGGCTAACATACAAAATCAAACAAAGAGATAAAGAAATTATTACCCATTCCAGTCGACAAACATCTGCCTGATTTATATCTGTACTCATGAATGCTACAGCATGTGAATGCACACTACATCCCTGAAAGTCTCGACTTGGTGTGGATGTCAGTCTTACACAAAATGAGCACTAAGAGTATTTGCTCTGTGCTTACAAATCCCCTCCCCCAGCTGCTCTATTACTCATATAAACATAGATGAGTGACTAGCACAGTGTGTGGGATGTGCTCTTAGGACTTGAGCTTTTGCTGCCAGACTGCCAGCTACTGCCACACTATCCTACTTTATTTATAAATGTAGCTTGTGGTTCCATCTTAATTGTTTTGTTGATTCTGACCCCTTACACGTTATTTGGATGCAATATTGAGTTTCACAAATCCTAGCCTGGAGCCAAGGTGTTCTTGCTAAAAGAAAAAAAAAGATACAGTGTAAAATGGAAATGTTTCCTTAATTTATCACAGCCGGGCCCACACACAAAAATGGTAATGACTAGAATTTCTGAGCCAAATTAATCTCTTCTGTAGGTCTACTGGAGTCTTTAGATTAACAGTGATGAAATTGGCTTTTATGTTCTTTAACTTGAATTACTTTTTAGGAAAGAAATATGCAAAACCAGTTCAAGTCTCGATACTTGTTATACTGAGTTTTGGCATTGTACTTTGTATCATACTAGAAAGCACTCCTATGTTTAGCTAAAAGCTTTAAAAGCAAAAAGGGCATTTGTTACTAAATTCCAGGTATATTGAACTTGCATATAAATACTGTTTGATTTGGAGCAATAGATGGCAGAACTGGCACAAAACCATTATGAAATCAGCCTTTCTGCATTCTTTCAGTTGCTAAGGAGTTGCAGCTGAAAACAGCTCTTTCCAGAACAGTCTAGGACTGCCCCCCATATGACACAGGAGCACTTTACATCCAATTCAAATTGGATACACAATTAATTAAAACAATTATATAAGTTAATACTGACAAATGATAAACCTTTTACTCGGACTAGCTTAGTAGAAGGAACTTGCCTCTAATATTCACTCCATAATAGAAAACATTTGAAATATATCCACTCACACTTGAAACAGTCATTAATATTTTGCTCTCCAAACTATTACAAATAAGGGTATTGTTCTAAAACAATTTACATTTCAATTATATCCATTTTGTGCTTTGAGTTGTGGTATTTGACTAGCGCTGAGCGAATAATTTATAATAAATCATGCACCTGATTTAATGTTTAATGTTAAATATGCACCTGACATATTCCTAAGCAAATTGCAGTGTCCTTGAATTACTTATTCATAATTATGGTTATTGTAATTTTGAAATACTCTACAGATTGATCATGAACAGTTTAAGAATATTGGATACTCAAAATGTACTGACTTGTTGATTGATCTGATAAGTTATGTGATATTTCTTCTTTTCCTAGACAAGAACCCCTGTCATGAATTCTGGCAAGCTCATGAAAAAGTCATTTTCTGTGAACTGCTGGATTAGTTTGGCCTGATAACTTGACCATTCCCAGAAGGAGAATATGGACAAAGCAAATTTAAGTAAAAACTTCAAAGGCCTGTAGAAAAAAATGTTGATGCTTATTTGTTTTTTCATAATCAATATGTCTGCAAAAGAACCTGAGAAGCTAGACATACTATCAGTCTTCCTCTTTTTTTTCCCTCAACATTTGATAACACATTCCTTTACACCCACTAACCCAATGTTCTTTCTCCTCAAGTATTTAAGACAAAGGAGGAAAAATTCAGCTACTGAACTGCCCGTGGAAATAGCATGGTGTGCACCACCAAAAGCACATTTTCTTGAACCCAGAATGAAGAGCCCAAGGCCAAAACTTTACTACATACATCCCAGTATCAAGATGAGATGGTTTTTGCCATTTGGAAGCTCTGTGAAGATCTTTAAATAAGATCTTTAACATTTGCACACTTGGAATCACAGGTGAAATGTATTCCACCATGTCAGTCTAGTCTCCGTCTGTAAGTCATCATCACTACCTGACTAGAAACGATTCCAAAGCACCATGTTCTCTGCTCCTAAGGTTGAAAGCTGTGTGAAGAAACTTGCAAAAGACCTGTGCACCATTTGAGTGGTGCAAACATACTAATCTAGATCATGAGTCAGCAAATTAAGTGAATTGTAAGCATGTGAATAGCCACATTAAAGGTAATAGGACAACTTGTGCTTAAGAGTTAGGGACATAAATATCTGACCAAATCAGGACCTGGGTCATGAGGATTAAAGTTTATTCCAAGATTAATAGTCTGTTAAGTGTAGTCATATAGGCACAAAGCATTCATATAGATAGATGTAAAGATGTAAATATTCACATGTAAACATAAAGAAAGTTATCTTCACAGTTAAAATTGTTCAGATAGCAATCTGAAATAGAACACGAAAAGTTTGCACTGGAGAATGCTACTTCACCTGCTGAGTTCTGTCAAACATTTCAGGTATGACCTGATAAAACACACCCAGCTGTAAAATGTAATAAGTATGGGCTAATTTCTAGTTTGCTAATGGGCAACAGCTGAAGTAAAGGCAATAAGTGTAATGATGAGTAGGACACAAGCCCTAGGCACTGCCTGGGGGTGGGGGGTCATCACTTAAATCGGGGGTCAGGTCAGAATGGAGCTGGAGGGGCATCTCACTTTTCCATCCCTCTCACTCCCCTCTGCACCTTGCACCATCCCTGCAGCAACTTTAACTCTGGTTCTAGCAGCAGGGGCTGGGTGGTAGAGCAGTGGTGACACCTGGTGCACAAGCAGAGGCTGGAGGCTCACTGCTGTTGGGGGGAGATGCCGCTTCCCTTTTTCCAACCAAAAAGTGTGTGGTTTTTTGACCACTCAACACATGTACAAAAAAGGAGGTCCTCCTGCAGCCGCAAACCTCTGGTTGCTGCCCCTGGATTTGCACTGCCACCACCCAGGGCACAGAACTGGCCAGTTAGGCCTTTGAGTAAAAGACTAGTAAAAAGGCCCTTAGATCCATTCTTTCATGCTGCTAATTAACTGAGATGTAGGGGACCTCTTTCCTCACTGGGTTATGCTAGTTCTCTTTTTTTGAGTGAAGACTCTACCATGGGACTGTGACAATTTCTTTATTTTTTTGAGTGAGGTCACTGTCTGTTGTTTTACCATTAATCTTCCTCATATATTCCCACTCTTCTTAGATGGTCTTGGAATAGAGTCATAATAATGGCTTTAGTGATACTGGTTACTTCTATGAAAGGAGACTGAACAATGATCACAGAAAACAGGAAGATGAAGATGGAGAAAGATTAAAATGCAAAATTCTTGTAAAAAAAAGAAAGAAAAGAAAACAGAAACCTGTCTGACTGATTAGAAAATGCTATGTTTACTATATGAAGTTTGTTTTTCAGCTATTACTGCCTGGTGGTAAAGTCCTGTGTTCTTGATTAGGTGAAAGAGTATGAAATGGAAATGTTATGAATATTAACAGTTACACAAGCCACAATGACAACCATATCTTAATAATGCTTCCTATTCTGGAAAACATTATTGCCTGCTCAGCTGTGAATTCTCAGGGAAATTTATTTATAGGGATTTGGTCAGATATGGAACCACATTTTCCGTGTGCAAGGAGAGATAAAGGGGCTGATGTATGGAAAAAAGCA